AAGCAAAACAATATTAAGTATAGAAGAATCTACTTTATAAGATATAATTATGTCAAATTATAATTTTTAACATTGTATTACTATTCAAATAATATTTAAATATTATTTGAATAGTATGTCATTCTATGTAGTAAAATATCTGATAATATTACGAGAACCTACAAACTAATCTTCAATAGCTCAAACAATTTTTTTTTTTAAAGCATCAAAATTAAACTAAACTATAATATTCGCAACCTATGTACAACGCTGGTTTCGCCAGTGGTGGGTTTAAGAGGGATAGATATATAATAGAAAGAATAACAAGGATGACCAAATCTGAGAAAAAAAAAGAAATAATAAGGATAAAAGCTGTTGAAAATAGTGAATGAAGAAAGAGTAAAAAGTATTTACGCCGGTGTACTGTTCACAGCCCTTGCTGTTGACAGACGAGAGTACCTGGTATCAATTACCAGGTACGTTGACTGTGGAAGAGAACAAAGTTAGAGCTAGTCCACGCTTCAAAACGCTCTGATCTTCACAAAATTGCGTGAAAAGTGCTGTATATAAAGTATGATGAGTAATTGACTAACGAGATAGCTTATACTCTTGTTGATGGATCACAGGTGAATGTCCTCTGATGTGTAGAGTACATATGAACGATACGTCTGTGCAAAAATCAACTTCTGCACGACGAAAATTATTGTAATCAAGCGATGCGTCTGATAATGATGATACTGTCAATGATGATGGTAACGATGATGGATGATAATGATGTTAATGATGTAAATGTGATGAAAATTTTAATAAATATGATTATGATGATGAAAAATTATAATGATGCCTCTGTTAATGACCTTGATTGCAATGCGTCCGATATTGTGAAGTGTATATTATAAAGGAACCTCTAATGTAACCAGAAGTGTTAAGAGGCACGTTCAATTTGTTACTTGGCAGAATATGATATACTTGTTATGTAAGAGTGGAGAGCTTAAAAATGCTTTCCTAATATCCACACATGTACTGTATCGCTATTCAAATAGAATGCATCTGTCCTTATATTTTACTAATTATACTATTTTTATACAATACATAAATTATGTTGTTTTGATTTTGGATTTGTAATTTCTGTGCAGTACTGTTTTTAGTATGCAGTATATTGTTTTTGTTTTTTGTTTTTTGTTTTTGTTTTTAGTGGATAGTCAATAAAATTAGTATGTAAGGTGCTTCATCTAGTGTTTCATTCGTTGTTTTATAATCGTCATAATCTCGTTTCATATTAAAATGTATTCAGTGCTTGAGCTTCAGCAATCATATCATTGTCCAGGAGTTTGTTAACGAATGCTTCCTTTACCTGTAGGTCATCAGTAAGAATACCACCTTTTTCCAATTGAAATATCAAACTCCACTGGTCCTTTAGTTCGGGTACGTACAGGTTAAACAAATAACCAATTTTTTCCTTGTTACTTCCGCCTATAACCTTGCCAAATTCGAGTAAATTTCTTCGATGCTTTGAAAATTTGGTGATTACAACTTGACTTAATCCTGCAAATGTCGGTATCAATTCTTTGATTTTCGGTTCTACGCCATTTTGGCCACCCAAAACAACAGTTTGGATGATAACATCAACGTTTACTTTACTGATAAGCCCGCTGCCTTTAAGTTGCTCAAAGAGAGGACGTGGATTAGTTGCCTCCTCTATCAGTGCTACAGGAATAACATTAAATTCGCTTAGTATTACTTTTAACATATTCAGGTTTCCATAGTGTTCCCACCACTTGGACACATCTTCGAGTAGTTGATTGAATTGCAACGGAGACATTGCTTAAAAAAAATATGGAATAGAGTGAATATTAAATTTGTTTTAGAATTAAACATATGTATTACACCCACACTGGCCTGAGACATCTCAAATGTATTCCTCATTTGCTTACGGTAAGTTTTAAAAAGCAATGATATTCTTTTGATCGGCCAAACTCAGTTTGGTTAATATTATGAAACATGTATTGTTTGCTCAAATGATTACGAACAGTTGAAGCCTATATAATATAATCACACACTTTGGAGTATCGGACTAACTAACCTGGCATCTGGTACGCATCCGGAACTTGTAGTGTATCCGCAGGTGAAATATCTATGAGTAAAGTACATATATATTTTACAAAATGGTAATTAAATATGTTATTGATTTTTTGACAACCATGATTATGATTATTAAAAAATATAAAGGAAAGAATATTATAGAATGTATCAACACAAATAATATATTAAATGACTTTCCTTAATATCGTTCACATGTTATAATTCATAGCGTATATAATGTTTATTTTGAGATTGTGTTCTCTGTTATTTACAATGCATCGAGAACTAACGCTTTTCCACTAATAAATGTACAAAAGCTGAGTAAAAATTATGTTGTTTCCAATCCGATTCATATTCTCCATGAATCCCCAGTATCGCACTAGTAAGCTAAGGTGCATAGACAGCAGACAGTCCCAGTTGGAGTAATTCAACAAGTTGCTTATAGTATATATACTGTCTCTTATACACATCTAGATGTGTATAAGAGACAGCCCTTGCTGATTGATTGATTAATTGAGTGAGTGATTGATTAATTGATTGATTAATTGGTTGGTTAATTGATTGATTGATTGATTGATTCGTAAAGACATATATTGCGTGACACCCTTAAATCCTTAAAAAGTCTGCTTCTAGTTTGTTCTAAGCAAATTGTTTAAATGTAGTAATCATGTTGACTGTTAATATTGTTAAAAAATTCTTTAATAGATGTTTATTGTTTCGTCGTTCAGCATTGAATATCAAGAAGATCACCTCATTCACAATTTTAGCGAGACATACTAATCAACGTCCAAGTATTTCGTACCCGGTATAACAGTTTGATGGTGCCCTACTGTAGGCTATGTGGACAATTCCCTATAATTAATATTTTTTAGAATACACAAACTGCACGGGAACAGAACGAAAAAGCAACGATATCAATAAAGAATACCTGTACCTTCCTTTAGTGCATTTAATGCCAGACGAAGATTCAGTATGTTCAATGAACCATAGAAACCTGTCATATCCTCTTCTTTGATTATTAGATTGTCTTCCAGATCACTGATCATACTCCATGCGTCTGCATACTCCTTAAGAGGCGTATTATATAATCCATTAATCAGCGTGACATCTGCTGGTGTCAGCGCCATCCCAAATTTCATTAGACGTTGTCTATGAGGCTTAAATTTTATTGAAACAGTTCCTTCCCTAACATCAGGGAATGACTGAAAAGTGCTTTTGATTCTCTCTTGGAGGGCATAGTGTTTGGTTAGGTTAATGGTTTCACATAGGATCGTCAAATCACTTGGAGTAAGATAAGCAGAATTAAACAAGTCATTCAGCAAGTCCATCGTGTTAGTTATTGTTGCCATTTTCCCAGTTGTGACATAGTCTCTGAATAACACTTTCAACATAGTAAGGGATCTGTTGTCGTCATACCATTTTGAGACAACCATCTTTAAAACATTAAATTGCATATCTATTAAAAACAAATATATCGTTTACATTATAAAATGTGGATATTTTAAGGAAGACTACAACATTTTAATGTTTACTTATTAATATGCGGCACTTCTTACTCAAATACTGTAACGCTCTTTCTCAATCGAACACTTGGCAAATATTACAGTACTTCACATTAATGTATACTTATAATTAATTCCACTAAAAGAGCTATTTTGATTTTGTAGATATAAAAAGCATATAATCAGAGGTTTCAAAGATATAACAGGAACAATTTTGGGTACTTCTACAGTCATTTGTTGCTTCCCTTGATGTACACAAATATTTTTGCTATATAATCTAGTATATAACTTTGGCATGTAACACGGTCTATTGTCATTGTGAACTGTATATGCCCAGTACGGATTCCTATTTTTAGATATTTTCATCAATTTTGACGATTTTTAGCTCAATTGTACTAGAATTAGCTAAATATGCTTGTTTTGCTGGATTTTTTTGCCGAAATTGGTTACATCGTTGTATTTACACGACTTCTAATGCTCTTGTATAACTTTTATAAAAATATAAACAAGCATACCTTTGGCAAAATTAGACCATTTTCTATATTACAAAGCATTGGTCTAATTTTACTTTTTGATGACGAACGATTTCTTTATGGATTTATTATTAAATTTATTCTAGAGCTAACTTAAATTATTTTTTGCAGTTTTTCATCTTTTTCATGTTGTGAAATTTTAAACGTCATCAGACTAGCATTTTGTGGTACTGTATTTAAAAAATTCTATAAAACAACCATTTTAATTTTTAAAACCCATGCAGATCGATTATGGATGCACAGTAGAATAAACACCGATGGAATTTCCAATTTAAATAGTTTGTTTTGTTTGTAAACCAATTTATCTTACATTAGTATGCCATGTTTTAAAATTAAATTAATTTCTTTTCTATTTTAAAACAAATGTTGCTAAATTTGTATTCTGGTTGTTAGCTTTTTTGGTAATTTTTCTTTTGAAAGTTCGCATTTAAGGACGCAATGTCGTAGGACAAACTAAAGCATTTTGTGGTACTGTATTTAAAAAACTCTATAAAACAGCCGTTTTAATTTTTAAAACCCATGCAGATCGATTATGGATGCACAGTAGTATACCGATTGAATTTCCAATTTAAATAGTTTGTTTTGTTTGTAAACCAATTTATCTTACATTAGTATGCCATGTTTTTAAATTAAATTAATTTCTTTTCTATTTTAAAACAAATGTTGCTAAATTTGTATTCTGGTTGTTAGCTTTTTTGGTAATTTTTCTTTTGAAAGTTCGCATTTAAGGACGCAATGTAGTAGGACAAACTAATCAGAAAGCATATTTTTTATGCTTTATATCGACGTTACAAGTTCGGTTATGAATTCCAAATTTCAGTATATATATCGTAATTGGCATGGTCTACAGTAAAATAATCAAAGGTCATAAAGTTTATGCTTTATATCGAAGTCCTAGTACTATATGAATAATAAGTAACTTCATAATATATTATACTAAATAAGTCTAGTTTATAATCTTGGATGCTCAGAATCATTATCTGAATTCGAATCATTTTGAACTGTTGATAAGTCATTTGTTGCTTCCCCTGATGTACACACATATTTGTGCTATATGATTTAGTATTTAACTTTAGTATGTACTATATGAATAATAAGTAACTTCATATAGTATACTAAATAAGTCTAATTTATAATCTTGCTTGCTCAAAATCATTATCTGAATTCGAATCATTTTGAACTATTGATATGTTGACTGTATAACGTACTGGTATCTCCCGATAAAAATAAATCATTTTAATTTAACTTGCCTTTCACTTTATTAGCATGTCTAAACTTATATTTTATATAATAGCTAAGCATGTATTTAGATTTGGATTATTGGGGCCTCCAGAACTTCATCACGGTGATTTTTTTTTTTTTTTTTTTTTTTTTTTTTTTTTTTTTTTGGTTTCCCAACCTTTTTTTTTTTTTTTTTTTTGCTTTTGGGGCCCCAGTGCAGCATCACTTGTCTAAATAAATAAATTAAAGGAGAGGATGATAAGTAAAATCATACGGTAACACTTTAATATATACGGACATAAGTGAAGACTACGTTGAAAATTTGGATTATTATAACGTACGACTGACAATGATGATGGCGTTATGCATTGGAAAATGCTTATTCATGTATACACGTGCATCGTTAATTCATATTATAGGAATAATTCTGGTGATTAAAAGCCGATCTTCTAAGGACTACTAAAAGAACAGAAGTACAATATAACAGGGAGTGTATGCTTGAAATAAGCGAATGATAGGAAAGGTCCCATCACCGCAGGGTGACTAGACCCAAGTGAGCTTACTTTTCTCATATGAGAAGCATTGTCTATATGATTGTTAATCAGTTATCAATAATTATTCACTACAGCATATTAAGGATTATAATGAATTGGTCATTTCAAAAATGATACATGCATTAATTAGTCTTAGACACGGGAAGATTCAGTAGTAAAACAATTATAGAAAAAAACATATATAAAATAATAAAATTTAAATTAATAGACTTATATAATACAGTATCGCTTCATGCCAATAAGGTCTCTAGGCGCTTTATTATTACAACAGTACAATGATTATATATAGTATAATTAAATAGCTGTATATAAAATATGATAAAGCAGTTGTTGCAAGTTAGATATTAATTTTGAAGAAACCATTATATTTTGAATCATTTTATTTAAATTATCACATACTTTTATCCGGTTTAAGTAATCATTTTGTTGTTATTAAATTCTATTTTTCCTACAGAATATATATAAAGGACTAATTAAAAGTATCCTCAGATAATTGTATCTGGCAATATGGATTTTGTATTTTGATTAGTTCGTGGTAACGTATGAAAAACATTTATATTGGTTTATAAATTGAAAATACTAATCAAACAAATGAACAGAATAATTTGCCAAGAAGTAAATTTTTTCGGAATGCATAATTCGGTTAGAGAATGTCATATAGTATGTTTTGTTATTTGGAATTTAGGAATCATCATTCTATG